CCCCGACATTGCTGCCCCGCCAGCTTCTGCGTTTATAGCAGCACTCACAAGCTGTGGAGGCATTAAGGGAACGTACAGGCAGGGAGAAACTGCCCTCCAGCAGCACTGCGGGCCTACACAGGGATATCCAGCCTTGCTGAGGAGACAGTTCCAGACACGACTACCAACGGGCCCAATTCTGTTGTTTCTTCATGCTTATGAGCCTTCCGAAACTGTGTAAATGTCTCGGTTCTATCGCATGTGCTCAGAACGTCACGTCAGGCCAGGGGCTGCTCTTGTCTGTACATGGGAGGTGTGTTACCTGAGGCTGCAGTCACAGTATCGTGGCTTTTGATAAGTGAAATATTAGATATTAAATGTTAAGGCACATGGATTTCAGTGATGTGCGAGAAGAGGAAGGAGAGAGAAGTGCACAACCAGAACAAAAAGATTATGGGGAGCAAGAAAAGAGAACAGCTGCTTCCAGAAAAACTAGAGAATAAACTGGCTCTGGTAAGGGCAATGGCATACAGGTTCCCTCTAAGAAAGCCAAGGCAAATTTTCATCCCAGTTCTCAGCCCAGATGAATTATCTTTCACTTAAATTCACCTTCAAAGCAGACCCAGCCTTACCACTGTAATTTTTCCAGTTTATAATCCCATACTACACACCACAGGAGGCCAAGGCCTCTAACCATGGTTACAGGAGGGCATGAAAAGGAAGGTCTCACGCTCTCACCCACTACCATGTGCCAAGAAACCCGATAGCTTATTCTCTGCTGTTCTTTGTTCTCATTCAGAGCCATCTCACCAAACAAACTTGAAACACCAACACTTTCATCTGTACAGTAACTCACATCACAGCTTACTGGATGTTCCCAATGGCTTGCCTGCAAGGTGTTTGCGGAAGAAAGCTTGGATCTGCTGCCAAGCATCAACCTGTGCCTCGCAGTGTGCCTTGGGCTCCCCTCCCCACACCACAGGCATGCCAACTAGCAGGTGCATTGAGGCTGCACACATCGGGAAAAAAGGGGGTTCAATGTAGTGCCCTGCTCCAGGGTAACAGATTATCTGAGGTTTTTCCTTCCCATGAGCTTGCAAACGTTTGCTCCCCTCAACTGCAAAGAATTCGCTTTTCCAGTTGCGATCATCCTGGCCAACGATGAACAAGAAGCGACACTCGGCCTTCTCCAAAGGGATGAAGCTTTGGCGGTCAGGCTCTTCCAGCGGGTTATTCAGTACTTCAACAATATCAGCAAGCCCAGACTTGTTGACCTTGATGCGTTTTCTGTTGAGACCAAGGGGTGGAATGGTGACATCCTTGTAGCGGAGCACTGCGCCCACATTTGCCACCGAGCCATTGATAAGGGCTGTGGCCGTGATGCCTTTGAGGAAGGAGGCCATGGAGACGCACAGGTCCCCCCCTTTCGAGATTCCAAGCAACCCAATCCCTGGACCTTGCACCTGGACGGGAGAGAAAAGAAACCACAACCAATGAAGCACGGCACACCACTTTAAAATGTTGCCAGCTTTGCAGCCCTGTCTGTCCTGAATCTGGGCTCCAGCTATAGGCTTCTAAGGTCCTGTGAGCAGGGCCCACATCTGAGGGACGCTGGGGCACTGTTCTGTGCTTGATTTATGCTCAGGAGCCCTGCTGAGACTGCAGCATCATCCTAACAAAGCCACATGCTGAAGCATACACAGAGGGTACAGCTGTGCTTGCAAAAAAGCATGCAGATGTGCTGCCCCAGATTCTGTTCACTCACAAGGCAGTCCAGGGAAGAGGCAGGGGAGGCCTCTTCTATAGATGCCTTCTTTCACTGCAAACTGCTCAAAGTCAGCAATGACTATGATATTGTCATCACTGCAGATAACGTATTTCTTATACTCAACCACCGCCTTCTATTCTTTTGTTAAGATGCTAATACAGGGTAGCAGACTCCACATGAGCTGCTCTCCTGTTTCTCTAGCATGCTTGGTGTCTAACTCACAGTGAAAAGGAAGTACACTAAAATGTATCTTTAAAAAAAACCAATTCTTCTAAGTGAATTGTACAGTCCTTGGGACTCGAGAATAGGTAACCTTCATTTCCTTTTACACAGGCAAATTAACTAGAATAGGAAAGCTAAATGATCTTACAGGGTGCTGAAATCCTCTTAGAGGAAAGTTAGCTAATATCGCAGCTGCTCTAATATCCAAATATCAAAATTTAAAACCTTTTCTACCTTATCACCAGTGTAATAGGCTCCAAACCATGCTGACTCTGAAGCATGGAAAGAGGGAAATTAGAAAATATGGCTGAAACTTTGCAACACGCTAAAAACATGGTAAGGCTATCACTGGAGGTGTTAATGGGAAGCTAAAGTACTGCTCTTGGGGGGAAAAAGAAGGCGTGGGGGAAGCAATTTTCAGAGGTTTGGGGGCAGGTAGGTGGCATGAGCAGTTAGGATTACAGTGACTGAAAAGCAACTGAGACCTTTAACAACTACTCATGTTTCTGAGGTTAAGGAAGATATTTGAGTTCTCCAGAGAAACCAAGTATTGCCTTGTGCAATTCTAGTTACTGTCACACACAGCTATTTGGAAGGAGATGCAGAACCAAGCAGAGTTGTCTTCCAGGAAGTGCTGACTTAGAAGGACGCCCAAGTTCACAACTAGTTACTAAGAACACAC